TTGTGAGATATTGTGTGTGTGTGTGTGTGTGTGTGTGTGTATATATATATATATATATATATATATATATATATATATATATATATATATATGTATATATATGTGTGTATATGTATAATTTTATTATTTACTTATTTATTTATTTATTTTGCAGGTCCCATTTTATGGATTCTGATTGGACTATGGACTATGAGAGGCCAAATGTCGAGACCATCAAGTGTGTGGTTGTTGGGGACAATGCAGTAGGAAAGACCCGGCTCATCTGTGCCCGGGCTTGCAATGCCACCCTGACCCAGTACCAGCTGCTCGCCACACATGTTCCCACTGTCTGGGCCATAGACCAGTACAGAGTGTGCCAGGAGGTGAGGAAAGTCTCCGTCGGTCCTGGAGCAGTCAGTCATGTCGCTAGCTTTGTTCACGACTGGGTCATAGAATTACAGAAAGTGTTCAAAATGTATACACCTAGATAAATCTCCATGCATGTGATAAGTGTGTTTCTCCAACCAGGTTCTAGAGCGATCTCGGGATGTCGTGGACGACGTCAGCGTGTCCTTGCGACTCTGGGACACGTTCGGGGATCATCACAAGGACCGTCGTTTCGCTTACGGACGGTGAGCTGGGTCATTCGTACAACCTGCTCGGAGCTTTCGAGCTACATTTGCAGCAGTGGCTTTGCATTCTTATACTTACAGCAACTGCATAGAATCATGTTGCATCACTCACTGTGGGTGTCGTGGCAGGTCCGATGTTGTGGTGCTGTGTTTCTCAATCGCTAACCCGAACTCGCTGCACCATGTGAGGACCATGTGGTACCCGGAAATCAAACACTTCTGCCCCAGAGCTCCTGTCATCCTTGTGGGTTGCCAGCTGGACCTGAGATACGCTGACCTCGAGGCGGTGAACAGAGCGCGGCGTCCACTGGCAAGGTGAGAGCAGAAAATCATCCTGCTGTCAATGCTGATGCTGTACTACTGCAAGTAGAAAAGTAAACAGATGTTATCTTTATTCCCTGGCCTGGCCACTACTCTAACCTTTATCCCTCTGACCGAGATCGATGTCAACAGTGTCAGCAGTGGGGCATTACTACTCCAACAACAGCTAATTTTCGAGTTTATTACATAGAACATATAGCTCAGCGTATTCTATTACCCTCAGTACCCATTCCTGAAGCCTTGTCATGTTCACTGACTAAATTGTCGATCTTTCTTTCATACAGGCCCATAAAATCCAACGAGATCTTGCCACCAGAGAAGGGCCGTGAAGTGGCGAAAGAGCTTGGTGTCCCATATTACGAGACCAGCGTCGTCGCACAGTTTGGTATCAAGGACGTATTCGATAACGCTATCCGCGCCGCGCTGATATCACGCCGTCACCTGCAGTTCTGGAAGTCGCACTTGCGTAACGTCCAGCGGCCTCTCCTCCAAGCCCCGTTCCTTCCTCCCAAACCGCCTCCGCCCATCATCACGGTGCCGCCTCCCCCCAGCAGCATGGAAGAGCACCCGGGGCGTCTATTGGAGGACCCACTGTGCGCCGACGTCATCCTCGTGCTCCAGGAGAGCCAAAGAATCTTTGCTCACCGCATCTACCTCGCCACGGCCTCATCCAAATTCTACGACCTTTTCCTGGTCGACCACCGGACTCCCGAGGACAAGAAAGAGAAAGAGCGCACCCGGGTGCATCTTTCCGGCCGCGAGCTGCTGATGCGAGCCGCCAGCTTTGACGTTTGTGAGAGCAGCGACGAAAGGGAGCGAGCGAACCTGCGCGCCTGCACCAGCGACGGGACGCTTAGAGGAGGCGAAGGAGGCCGTCTGCTGCCTGCGTTCAGCCGGGCCTTTGTCAGCGTGCGGGAGGAAATGGTGGATGATCCTTTGACCTTTAACTCCAGGCCAATGACGGTGGTGCACATGGACTCGTCCATGCAGCCGGGGCCGTTCCGCGCCGTTTTGCGCTATCTCTACACAGGGAAGCTGGATGAGCATGAGAAGCAGCTGATGCAGGTGGCTCATATCGCTGAGCTTCTGGAGGTTTTCGATCTCCGTATGATGGTAGCCAACATCCTAAATGACGAGGCTTTCATGAACCAGGAGATCACCAAGGCCTTCCATGTGAGGCGCACCAACCGAATCAAGGAGTGCCTAGTTAAGGGGACCTTCTCGGGTGAGAGATGTGTGAAGTGTATATTATTCAAAATGACTGCAATTTTCCACAGTTGTTAAATTTCGCATTTTACAGCACAACAATATTTAATAATCATGCCTGGTTTAATTGTATATACTCCAGAATTATTGGCACACACCAGTGGCACACAATAATAATTGAACTTCCACTCAAACAGTTGAAGAATCTGTAGTTGTGCTCATAAATTTACATACCCCTTGCAGAATCTGCAAAATGTTAACCATTAAAAAAAAAAAAGAGGGATCATAAAAATTGCATTTAGTTTTTTATTTAGTCCTGCCCTGAATAAGCTATTTCACATAACAGGTGTTTACATCTAGTCCACAAGACACAGTAATAACTCAAGTTACACAAATGAACCTGTTCAAAAGTTTACACACGCTTATTAATTATTAATACCGTATGTTGTTACCTGGATGATCAACGACTGTTTTTATGTTTTGTGAGAGTTGTTCATGAGTCCCTTGTTTGTCCTGAGCAGTGTCCACTGTTCTTCCTTTCAAACAGCAGCTATACGATGTTCAGATCCGTCTTTTCACACTTAGGACAGTTGAGGGACTCATACACAACTATTACAAAATGTGCAAGTATTCATTATATATTAAGAGCGAGGGGGGGTATAAACTTTTGAACCGGATGATCTGTGTAAATTATTATTGTTTTGTCTTCTGGGAAACTTTTTTATATATTATGTAGCTTCTTCCGGGCAGTACTAAATGGAAAAAAAAAGAACTTTAAACAAATTAAAAACCATATACAAAGATCGTCCTGTTCAAAAGTTTACCCAACCCCCCCCTGGATCTTAATGTATCGTGTTGCCTTCTGGAGCATCGGTGAATGCCTGCACCTATTGTAATAGTCGTGTACGAGTCGCTCAGTTGTCCTCAATGTGAAAAGATGGATCCCAACATCATATAGACGCTGTTGGAAAGGGGGTCAAATATGCAGAAGATGCTGGAAAAGCAAATAATTTATCTAAAGAACAATGGGCACTTCTCAGGACAGACAAGGGATTCATGAACAACTATTACAAAACATAAGTCATTGATCATCCAGGTAACGACACACAGTATTAAGAATCAAGTGTGTGTAAACTTTTGAACTGGATCATTTGTATAAATTCAGTTATTATTGTGTCTTGTGGACTAGATGTAAACATCTGTTATGTGAAGTCACTTCTTCAGGGCAGAACTAAATGAAGAATGTTCCATTATAGGATAGCAGTGATCAGTCAGAACCAAGTGAACCCAAACCATCCAAGCAAAAAAAAAAAAAAATCATCTAAATCTTCCCTTCAGCAGAAGTAAATATTCCTAAATCAAGCTTTCTTCCTCCTCGCTGCCTCATTATGATCTTTAACAACTCACTCATCCACCTCCCAAGGAGACGGGTCAGCGCCCAGTATTTCGCCAGCTGGCTTTTTACGCTTGCGTAATCATACGTCCGTCCGACGACCGAGCGATGTTTTGGTGTTTTCAGCACATTTGGAATTTGGGGTTGTTTTGTTGAACTAGCTGTTCCCGACTGCTTACATAAGCTCAGAACGTTCCTGTTTATTTATTTTACACTTCAGTACTCCGTTTAAGCTTTTAAAATGACCGTGGGATGTGTAGACTTCCAAAATATGAAAAAAAAATAAAATAAATAAAAACGTTTGAATGAAATCCAACAAGGGATTCCACCTAAGCATTCGCTTAGCTGAGAAAGCAGCAGTTTACATATAGATTTGTCCTGCATTTATGAAATTAGTGAAATTTGTTTTGTGTTTTTTTTACAGTTTTAAGTTTGGATATATGTTTTTGCATGGCAGATGTGGTGTTCAAGCTGGATGACGGTACAATAATGGCCCATAAGCCTTTGCTCATCTCGAGCTGCGACTGGATGGCAGCCATGTTTGGAGGACCGTTTGTGGAGAGCTGTACTAAAGAGGTACATAAAAGCTATTTGGTTTGCTCTTTAGTAATCAGTATTGACCCCCGAGTGGTTCTCCCAAATGAAATGGCTTCCTATAAAGCTGCAGTTTGGACTGAACACAAGTCGTGCCACTTCCTAGGACGCTATGGGTAATGCAATAGTTCATAGTCTGCATTTTTCCAACTTACAAGCTTTAGAGCAGTGGTCACTCACCCTGTTCCTGGAGATCTACCTTCCTGCAGGTTTCATCTCCAATAAAAATATCTAACACACTTGTTCTGGTTGATCAAGAACTTCTTAAGGAATTGATTAGATGGTCAGGTGGGCACTTAGAGGTGAAGACTAGGAGAGGGGGAAACCTCAGAATTTCAAAACAGTAAAATAAATTAATAAATTCAAAAAGTTGTTTACTCACATTCGTTTTTCAGGTGTTGTTTCCAAACACGACCCGTAGCTGCATGCGTGCAGTGCTGGAGTATCTCTACACTGGTCGCTTCTGTTCTCGCCCAGACCTGGATGCCATGGAGCTCATTGTTCTTGCAAACCGTCTCTGTCTGCCTCACCTGGTCGCACTAACAGGTACACACACACACACACAAATGTAAAGCAAATAATAAAAAAAATGTAAAGGTATCGTAAACTGCGACTGGCACCTCTTGGTAAATGCACACTGTGCGAAGAGAAAATGAAAAGCTGTTGTGAGTTAGCGGTAATGGTGATCCGGAGAGCCATGAAGAAGCTCGGGAGTCAATGCTACAGATATTTGTGACCGGGAGCCAGGGCAGGAAAATTGGCCCTGCTGTCTGGGTCTGTGGGGGTCAATCACAGCGACATCTATGAGCTCATGTATGTGGAAGAGGGCAAACTGTGCTTTCCTTTGAGTGTGTTATATCACAGGACAAGTAGGGGGCAGTGCTGGCTTGACGGTTCAGGCTTTGGGTTACTGATCAGAAGGTCGGGGGTTCAAGCCCCAGCACTGCCAAGCTGCCACCGTTGAGCCCTTGAGCAATGCCCTTAACCCTCTCTGCTCCAGGGGGCGCTGTATCATTGCTGACCCTGTGCTCTGACCCCAGCTTCTTGACAGAAATTCTTGAAGAATTTCGCTGTGCTGTAATATATACGTGACCAATAAAGACTCATTATCATTATCATTATCATTATTATTATGCACCATGAGCAGACAATAAGCAATAAGCCGATTTAAAAAAAAAATGTGTTGTTGCTCAACAGAATAAACGTGCAGTGGTTGATGTTATCTGTTTATTATTATTGTTTATTCAGCATTTATGTAAGGAGTCCTCGGGGTCAGCACCCTGTAACAGTTTTCTGCTATGGGAAAAGGTTCAGGTTAAATTCCTTTGCAGTTGGGGATTATTAATAGCCTGAGAAGCTGGGTTTTTTGCGTTATTAAATAAAAAAAAATCAAAATGCCGGTGAGTTTACGACTGTTTTAACAGTCCCGCTGAGTTTTATTTATTTATTTTTTTTAATGAATTTTTTATTGTTGCGGTCAGAAATGTGTGATTTTTGCTACAGCTTTGTTCAAAACCTGTGCCGGAGTTTGCGGTGATTTTTGTGCTTTTTTTTTTTCTTGCGGAACACTACTAGAATTGGCGGAACTACCATCGCACGACCTTTTAGCCGTACTCCCGTTCAACGCGCATGAACCGTAGAGAGCTTTGGCCGAACGCACGTCGTGATCTCGTAATCTGCGTAAAAATTTTACAAACTTTATAGCTGGTATAATGTAAGTGAGGACAAACTTACTTGCTTCGTGCACCTTCCACGACATGTAATAAAAAAATCGATACAGAAGCAAATCGCTGCCGCATCATTGTGGTATAAAAGGAATAAAACACGTCGGTACATGCTGTTATAGGAATACGAAACCTCCGTCGATTATTTCCCTAGAACGTCACGTCCTACCCTGATTTCTTACATACTCATAAGACCTAGAAATATACAGTGTGTATACAGTGTGTATACAGTGTGTACAACATGTTGCACCTTTGCTTTGGTTTCAGAACTGTACACTGTGACTGTGCTTATGGAGGCTGCGATGATGGGAGCTGATATTGATGGAGAAGTACTAATCTATCTGGAAATGGCTCAGGTAAATTGTGCGGTACAGCCTGCTGAAGGCATTAAAGTTAACGCGCAGTGGTAACCCAAACTTTTATTTTGTGAAGCGTAACTAATGTCGCCCCTTTGATGTGCGTACAATAAACGTTAGCCAGCCACGGAAATATATACGTTTATATGTTTTGTTCTTGTCCGGTGTGGTGTACGATCTTCCTTTTCCTCAGTTCCACGGTGCCCAGCAGTTAGCTGGATGGTGCCTCCACCACATCTGCACTAATTACAACAGCGTCTGCCGCAAGTTCCCTCGGGACATGAAGGCGAAATCCGCAGGTATTCGTACACCCTGTCGATAAATCGCTACCGGAACATCTGCGTCAGATCGCTGCACATTAGCGATCGTTTTGTGTCCCATTTTGAAAGGAACATCCTCTTGTGCCGTTTCAGAGAACCAGGAATACTTTGAGAAGCATCGCTGGCCTCCAGTCTGGTACCTCAAGGAGGACGATCATTACCAGCGAACACGCAAAGAGCGGGAGAAAGAGGACTACCTGTACCAGAAACGCCAGTGTAAGCGCAAGTGGCTCTTCTGGAATCTTCCATCCTCGCCCTCTTCCAACTCTCCGTCCTCTCCTGGGTCCTCCGCTGTCATGTGATCGATCAAGGTTGAAGGGCGTATCGAACTGCCGTTAGATGGAAAAGCACGCATCGGCAGTGACCGCCATTTTGCCAAAAATATACAGGTGACATCCTCTAACTACTGAGCAGGAATCCATACCTGGGGTGGGGAAAGAAGAAGGTGAGCCAAAGTGTAAGTCTGTTTTTTTTTTGTTTTGTTTTTTGTTTTTTCCGTTTTTTTCCGTGAAGCTTCAATCCCTCGTCTGGTCACGACACACCCGGACGAGACCCAGCAGATAAAATGTCACAGATCACATCAACGTACGTCGAGTTACGTTTCTGCTTTGAAACCACGTGAAAACAACCTGGCAGACCTTGTTTTTAGAGTGGGTTTTAAGAGGTTTTAAAAAAATATATTATTATTATTATTATTATTATTATTATTGCTTTATCAATAAATCACCAGTACCCTGGTGATGTGCCGCATGCAGATAGTTACATTAGGATTTTCCAGTGGCACAAATCAGTCGTCTGGGATCACATGATGTACTGGCTTGTCCCGCTCTTGCGGAACGTGAATAGTGCCCAAATGTCCCGTGACTGTGACTGTGACGGCGAATTGTTTATCGTTTTCACTAGGGTCTGTTTTATTTTTTATTTTTATGATGATCAACATGATCATTCTTAAAAGGGCTCTCGTTGTTTTTTTTTGGTTTTGTTTTTTTCTTGTCATATTTGGACCCTTTGTAATTGCTTTGCTAGCAAAATTGGATGTCGATGATGATAATAATAATAATAGCTTTGCACCTAATAATAGCCTGGTAGATTATTCAAAATTATTCTGAATGATAATCGAAGACAAAAAAAAAAGCTCTGAGTACTCACCACTGTTCGTAATCGCCCTCAAAGACCTGAACTCCAAGATTCAAAAGTCAAACAAAAAAGAGTTAATCTTCATCAAGGTGTACTCATGAATGCTAACCCTCCTTCTCGTGAGGCGTCCTTCTGCAAAAGTTTAATCCCTGCCTACTATATCGCATAACAATTTTAGATGCTCCTGAGAACCACTACATCGATATTATCGCTGGATCTAAACTCAAGCAAGGTGGTAGATCTCCACGAACAGGGCTCATTCTTGGTTTATTTTGTAAACACTGCACGTCGCACATATATTTACACAACAGGCTCATGGGCAGGCCCAGGACTAGGCCATTTTTATTCGAATGTATTTGCGATCAGTATTACTGTCTATTCTAGAGAGCACATCATGCTTATATCTTGATCGTTTAAAGTACGAATTAAGCTTTAGAGCTTTGAAGTAACTGTAGAATGTAGAAGTACAGTATAACGCAAGCAAAAATCTGAAAACGTATTATCCTTGCATGGGGTAACGCTAAACACGGAGAAGAAAAACAGTTTACGGGATGCGAAATGCCACGACGTTACACCAAGCTTTCAAATAGAACGCTGTTTACATCTCTTAGTTTGAACCTGTAACAGACGGGGGTACTCCAAGCACGATGCATATTAAGTAGTTTCGAATCGAACCGATCGGTTTTTAATTCTCGCGCTCTATTTATTCCTAGCGATAACTGATCTGCTGATGATGCTGATTACTACTCATAATCATAGAACGTCAAAGCTATATAAATATCCGTTTATTGCTAAATGGAGTCCTATTGGTGCAGGTGTCTTTTCAGTGGTACGTACTTGGATATTCATACATATCTGTCGAGTATATTCTAATAATGTGATCTTTGCAGTACCTGACTTACTGTTCAGTTTGTGAATTGTTATTTTATTACTTCAGACCCTCAGAGGATGAATGAATAGAGACTGTATTTAGAGAGATTTGCGCATGGCTTTGCTACTTTTTCTAGAAATCAAGGTGGTAGGCACCAGCACAAACTTTGTTTACATCAATAATCCTTCAATTTTTGGAAAGTAACGTCAAGATACACGGTGTTCTCCATACAGTGGTAGAACCGGTTTGCACCAAGAATTTAAACCAAATCGAATGCCTTCTCCGAGATTCTTGGTACCAGTGATAAATCCAGGAAGCGTTACACTGGCCGTACCCATCTGTCCCAAGTTGAAGATTGAAGTAGCCTCTCGTACTAGCCTTCGGACGTAATCACTTTGGGCTATATTTGGTCTGCGATCCAACATCTGGACTTGATGGCTAGTATCTGCAAGGCAAACCAGATGTTTGGCTTTGGGGAATGTATACAATACCCACCTCCTGTTGGCATGTTTCTTCATCTAGAACCTATGTTCCTCTGTAGAAGGGGTGTCAGACATTGTATTTGTCCAGGAGAAAAAAAAAAGTTTGTGATTGAAGAAGTATTCACCCCCCATTGTTTTTGTTGTTGCTATTTTTTTCAGCATGACAATGAAGAATTATATATAATTTGCGCCTTTTGTCAGTAGCTATGGTTACTGAGTTTATTGATCTATTTTGCCCCCTAGTGGAATAACAAATGGACTGTTTCAGTTCAATTACTGTCCACAAACCCATTTAAGAACCACGTTTGACACCACTGCTCTGTAGTCAGATTACGGCTTGAACTCTGTTCTCTAATGCTGCATTTGTCTAAAACAAGTAACCCGGAATTTCTAACCGATTAGGGGAAAAAACGAAGAAAATGCCCCTCAACTCAGAATTCCTACTCGTCAGTCTCCTCAACCTCGAGTTCAGCAGGTCCCGTCAAATCAACAGAGCTGCTCACAGAATGAACAGTAACCAATGTAGTACTTCTTACCTTTTATATATACAAATTTATACTGTATATACAAGTAACATCGACTATACAGATTACTATTTTGAGGAAGAGAATATATATCACTCGTCACAGTTAGATGGCTTGCTAACAAAATATCGACATGGAGGCAGCTGTGTTTTTCATCTCAAACGCACGAGACTGAAAACGATGTAGTTCTGAGGTGCATTGAATGTAGTGCTAAACTAGATGAAGAAACTCACCTATGGAGAACCACCAACCTCAAGTGGTTCAGAGTACCTTTAGAGGTTCTGTACACTATAGATGGCTGCCACAATTCCAGTTTTATACAATACTAATGGATACACAGGATAGCTGCGCTCAATTCCATCCTACTTCCTGAGGAACTGTTAGTCATCATACTGTATGTGATAGAGTATGGTTAATAACATGCCAAGCCTCATTTAAAAAAAAAAAGACCTGTTCTGTATCTCTCTCTTTTGGTGTTGTTAGAATACATTCAAAAATACTGAGTCATTCATATTCAACCTTTTATACATTTCTA